TCCTGCTGAGTTGAAAACCATAATCCTTAGGATTATTTCTGCCACTTGCCTTTAAACCACAAGGAAACAAGAGTGAAAATTGGAATTGGGAGTCCATTGATTTTAGAGAAATCTTGGGATGTGCCTGTATCCGACTGCTTCACACCAACAGGAACCCGTGATATTGGCATACACATTTGCACAGAGGAAAGCATTAATAGCGACAACCTCACCAGTACACTCAGCAAGGCTGTTCCCAAGGTAAAGACAATTCTATCTTGGAACAAGCACCCCAAATAGCATATACAGACTTACAACAGCAGCTGCCCCTTGATGTCACATTTGGTATCCTTGAGTGGAATCTAGGTAGGCAATCATAAAACATAAATTGGTAGAAGATCATATCTTAAAATACTTTTTCTCGCTATCATCTCCCAGCCTAGCCTTCAAGCAGCCAACCAACCTTGCTAAACTTATCATCTGAAGAAAATTTCCCAAGGACCAATATGTCTGACTATATCAGAGTGATAAATGCAAAAATTGCAATTTGTCTCCATAGACCACAAAAGAAACATCTTCAATAACAGAACCATGAAAATCAACGGATCCTCAGCATGTCCATCCCCAAATGCAAACGACTTCCTATGTACCATGTGCCCTCTGTACCGTAGTGAACTCACACTGACAATCAGTGTGGGAAAAAAATGTGGTTAGTAACAAGATAATGTTTCCCAAAACAGCCATTCTCCCTCTGATCAGTCAGTCCTCAAGGGAATCCTACAAAAGAAGCTGGAAAGACTGGGATTAAAATTAATAATTTGATGGGACACAAAAAATTGTTCATTCCAACACCAATGCTAATTTTATGCACATTACAATTTACCTCAGATACGACTTGCTAATCTCAGTTTCTCAGGAGATAATTACTTGTGCATTTCTTCCGTCCTGTGTTCAGTAGAGCTGAAGACCTTATTACCGCTCCTCTTACTAACATCCCCTCTGTTCCTTTCATCTCAAAGTACCTGACTGATTAATATAATGAAACTGAACTCAGATAAATTGCTTCCGATCTTTGCTTATCTGGCAGTTTGCTAGTTATGTCCCTGCTTCTGTCTTTTGCCCCTCAGGCTTGTCTGTTTTTTTTCTATCAGGTGTACTGATAACAGATATTGCCTCTCTCCACACATATTCCTTCTGAGTGTTACGACTGTTCCCTATTTACCAAAAAACCTGCCCAACCAGCCTCCACTTTGGAAATACCAAGTGTGGTTCCAGATATGGCTCCAGTTCTGACTCAGAGATTCCTTTTTGAATAGTTATATGGCTTTTACTCTGGCATTACCCAAGCTCTCAACTGCTTCAAAGAAATATTTGGATTTATGCAAAGAACAGGAACGCAACTTAAGTGGCCAAACGTCAGTCACTATTTCTAAAAGGAAAGGAAGCATCGTTAACTCAGATCTTTCTAAAATGAAAATGAAATATGACATGGAGGAGATTCAGGACTATATTGTTCAACACAGGGCAGTTATGCACCCCTCAATCCAGTCAGAGATGAAAATTTTTGTTGTCGCTTCTCTCTGATACTTCCCGGTACTGAATTGGTCTTTGGCAATGCTCGTTGCAATGATGTAGAGTATTACTTGCTTCTCCCTTTCATCCATGGAGCTCAAAAAACCCCAAAACTTTACTTCCCTGCGTCTAAATTCAGTAACTTAAAGCTGTAACAGCTTGGGAAAAGTTAACCCGTATCTTAGGAAGGGACTTGATATAATTTTGCCTAGGAAATTTCAGTGGGCAGTCCCACATGAACTAAAATATATGGACCTATAGAATAGCACGATATGTTTTAGGAAGTGTTAAATAAGCCAGTACACAAAGCTCTGAGGTAACATGCAGATCTACCACCTTCTGCCAAATGCCATATACTTCCTTGGGCTTGCAGGAGTAGCAGGTATTGTTCTGCTCACATACCATGCAGTCCTTGATGCACACTTGGAAGTCATTCTTTGTAAACAAGTACCTAAATTTCACATCCAGTGCAGAAGTTCTACACCCTTCTTTCACCAAAAGGCACTCAGAGAAAATTCAAGACAAGATTAAGGAAAGGATTTTAAAACTTTTATGGCTCATCTTGTGAAACTAGGGGTTCTCTGTGACCTAACCACATGTGAGACCTGCAACCTCAGCATTACCATGTACAAAGCAAATATTTACCCCATATGCGCCTGTCACCACGGAAAAGCTCAGGGAACGTATGGAAAGGATTTTTTGCAGGTCCAAAGGAAAAGCAGGCTCCCACATCTCTTCCTCCTATTCAGATACAAACCAGGATCTTGCTTCCAGCAGGCAGTTTGTATCCGTGGGCTCTGCTAGGCAGTATGGAGATAGACCTCAGCATTGATAAATGGGAACAGCTAATGCAGTGTAAACATTTGGTGAAGGCAAAATATTTGCCAAGAACCTAAAAGGCTGGGCACTTAAAGCAGGTCTCCACACTGGCTTTTCTTAGCAAGGTGGACAAGGGACGGGCACTCAGCTATTGGTCCTACTGCTGGCTCCTAAGAAATTGAACCTACAGTGCATCGTACCTACGTCCCAATGAGCCATATTTAATTCCCTTCTTCCCATTTGGCAGCGCCACTGCAATGAGAGTTTCTGCAAGAAAGTGGGATGTTTCTGGAGCAGTAAAACAGCTCCTGCCGCTCACAAGCTAGTGTTTTACTGTGCCTGTGGCACTTGCCCCGGCACCACCATCAACTTCTTCCACGTAGCGAGGCAGACGGCTTCTGACTTGGCCATCTGGTTTTGATGACTGAGAGCCTGCTATAACATCTTTCTGCACCACTGCAAATTTGCAGATCCGGTGCTGATCATTGGAAGAAACATACAAATTCAGCCCATTAGTGGCTCAGCCTTGCTTCCCACCCGCGAGCGGGTAACACGAGAGCAGTGTTGGGGGTGGTGGGGAGGAAAGGATGAAGTGTGAAAATAATATGAGATGAGGATGCCCAAGCTGGCAGGTGATGAAAACCAGTGTCTGCCCTCCTGGGAGGCCACAGGGTCCCTCCTCAACACACCCATAGAAGGGAGAGATGGTGGGAGTGTGGGGCACAGCGGGAGCGCGGCGGCCCTTACCTTCTCATTCTTCCTCTCCTCGGCCTTGCCGGCGGGGCCAGGAGTGACAGGGCCACCCAGGGGCCCACCGCCCGCCTCGCCGTTGAGGTGGGCTGCGCTGACGTTGGGCGGGGTGATGGCGGCGGCAGCAGAGGTGAGGGGGATGAGGGGCCGGGCCCCCGGGGTGGGCGGCTGGTGGCCATGCTGCGGGGAGATGGCGGGGTGAGGCCGGATGGCTGCTGCTGGCAGGGGGGGGGGGGGGGCGGGGGGGCCCAGGGGAGGGGGCCCCCCCCCCAGCCAGTACACTGCTGCATGTCCAGCACGAGCCACGGTGCTGGGGCTGTGGCTCCCTTGGCTGAGCCCCGGGGTGGGCTGGTGGCCCTGCGGCGGGGAGATGGCGGGGTGAGGCCGGATGGCTGCTGCTGGCAGGCGGGAGGGCGAGCTGGGCGTCCGCAGGGGCGAGACCGTGGCGGTGGGCCGATCCGGGGCTGGCACTGGGGGATGAGCTGCGAAGGGAGGACAGAGCACGGTCAAGCCCCCCATGCACTGCCAGACCTGGCCTTTCAGTGGCCATCGCCGCCACGAGGTGCCAGGGCCTGATGGAGAGCTAAGCTCTTAGCCTTAACCCAGGATATCTCAGCCTGCAAATGTTTTCAGCTAAATCCTAGAAATCCCCCTCCTGGCTGTGAAAGGCCTGTCTGCAGTCACCAAAATGGCTGGTCCTCCCTAGTGATGTGACTGGGGAACGGCCTGACCACCCCTCTCCATGCCCAGAAATAAATAAAAAGTCTACTGTGTTTTTAAAATACCTTATCTTGTTCCAGCTGAGCTATTTTCCGAACCTCCAGGACTCCCTCCTAACCTTATAGGTTTTGGAGCAACGCAACATGGGACCTAAAGGGTTAGCCCAGATGATCCATGCCAACCTTGCAGACAGCAATTACCAAGGAAGGTCTCTTGTTTCAGCCCTAACAAAATGATCAACAGCACATCACTGTGCTACACAAGATAAATTAAGCAGAAATCCACCGGAGGATTTCTGAGCTCAGCCTCGTCTCTGCCAGCGAAGTCACTAAGGGACTATGCAGTGCCTTTTAGTCTTGCTGCCTCTGCTCAGCAAACCCTGCCTACAAGCACTAGGAACCAGGAATTAGCGCTCGTCTGTTTAACGGTGACTGCAACACACTGCCAAGGCCAGCTCTCCAGGGATTCGGGAGCCTGTTGCATGCCTCATGTTGCAAAAAGTGTGACATAGTTCCAGGTCCATTTCCACAACGGTGTTGCCTTAGACTTCCAGGTTGGCTGATTGCTTAGGTGTAACCTACATACAGCTCCAGTTCAAGTAGGTACAGACCAGAAGCTGAGTCCACACTCAGACATTCCTTCGCTTAAATGATTCAATAGTAGAACTGGCTGGAAAATGTCCATTTCACAAATGATTTCAAGGTTTCATAATCTGGTTTAGTTCTGCCTCAGTGCAAAATTTGAACCTTTGGAACATTTTTCTGAGCACAACCTACTCACTCACCCCACAACAGCCTCTATTCTGGTCAGGGCATTCACCTGGGTTGTGAAAACATAGGATCCAATCACTGCACTGTTCTCCTCTGTGGAGAACAGCTCTGGGCAGCTGTCTATTCCCTTTGCAACCTGAGCCAGGACAGCTTCGTGGCTGAAGTCTGGTTGAACTACATCCATTCCTGACAAAAAGCTTTGAGTCCAACAAATCAGCTTTTCTTTGACCAAGAATCATTTTTCTGGAAAATTTCTGATCCACTCTGATCTGTGATTTTCTTACAAATTCATCCGAAGGATACATTTTTAGACAGGACCAGCTGGAGTTCACTCAATCTATAACTAAACAACAATGCTAGAACAACTAAAACCACTAGTTTCTGTTTCCATGGTTAACAGCAGCACCCATTACCAGGGATTGAAACCATAAGGAGTGCCATTAATCATACTCACTACACCAGCTGAGCACTCCTGCCAGGAGGGAATTTCGTCCCCCAGCCTTATGCTCTATTATCTGAAGTGATACTGAACATGATGGGCTGGTGATCATCAGATTAGCACCTCCAAAGTTTACGTGATTCTCCCTCATGGTAACTCCTTGACTCTGTAACATCTATTTTTATTAAGGTTGCTCATAGCAAATCAACTGAACTATCATTAACCAGTCTTGAACTTGATGTGATTTTACCATGTAACATAAGGAAGGGCCTAAAGGTTGTTATTACAGATGCCTTCAAGATTATTCTTACTATTAGTTACCATTTCCCCCTCCCTGGATTACCAAGAACATATATTGGAAAGTGCAATTCCTTTCCAGAGAGCCAGACAGGACATCACTGGTTATCTTGAAATGATTTCGTCCTGATTTTCCTGTTTGGAACCTGGGTGATGAGCAACCACTGCTGCCAGAAATCTAATTTCCCAGGATGGTTAAGCTTGCAGGATCAAGGTTTTGAACTACTGGTTGTAGGGAGCAATGGCTTTCCTAAATTTAGAGCAAAAGCACAATAATGGAATTTCATGTACCTGGATGCAGAAGACTGATTTGATAATCATATTAGGTACATTACTTCTTTCATATAGGACTCGGTGTTTCCAGACACAAAGGAAACAGAAAACATGAGAAACAGTAAAATAAATGGCCTGAGAAAAATAAACTCTGAGCAGAGCTCTCACATTTTATTCTGTAATTTCATCTGCTTACTGTTACAACGTATGCCTTTGCTCTGGGATCTCTGGATCTGGACTGCACTGCATCAAACATGCTATTAATTAGCAATGCTCACTGAAGGCTATTTTTGTTCTACACCACTCATATTTCATTTTGGGTGTATTCTTACATTAGTGGCCTTGTGCAAAATTGATTTGTTACTCATGTATATTGCAAGCCAAAAGAAACGTGATTTGAATACTGTGCCAACTTGCCTCTCCTGGAAAGCTTTTCCAAAAGTCAGTGTGCATTGCCGTGCCCTGCAGGACTGAAGAGACCTTTTGAGGGGCTCTGGTCCACAGGATACTGGTGAGGACATCCATTATGGAGAAAAATACTAATAATCATGAAAAATTTCTTTTATTTATCCTGGCTTATTTAATTAAAACAACAATCTCATGAACCTTCTGGAAGGGCTGGAGAACTCCCCGCTTAGGAGGTTTTGGAGCAGCTCTGTGGTCCCTGGATCACCCTGTCTGCCAACTCCTTGGCACTTTTAAGATGTCAGAGTGACCTGGAGGAGCAATCTTAAATCAGGGAAGCTGGTGGAGGTGCAGCACAGCAGTGCTGTGGAAGGAAGGTGTGGGGCATACCAGGTGCGTGGGGCAAAATGATCTGTCACCTCAGTTTCAGGGGAGTCCATCTGCCTGTCGGCAGGAGCATGGGAGGCACCAGGAGCACTCAAATGCTTCCTGAGAGCCTTGTCCAAGAGGGGACATTTCTGCCCTTGCACTGTGGAGCAGAAGGGCTTTTGGAAGGGTGTGACTTGAGGGGAAAGCAGCGCTTTCTGAAGTAGACAAAAAGATAAATCGATTATTCCCCAGCGTGACATGGATGCCGTGTAAAGTCTTGCCACTGTTTGTTGAGCAGAGGAGTCTGCACTGTTCGAGATTCAGATTTATACGTATTTGATTACGTTTTCTTCCCTTTGGTCTGGACTGTGTAGGAGGTGAGATTAGACAGTCATAATGGTGCCTTTTGGCTTCAAAAGGTATGAATTCATGACTTACACTGCAGTATATTTCTCATTTGTGCCTGCTCTGTTTCGTGTCTAAGACCTCAGTTTTCAGCAGTCACAGTCCTTACTGATCTGCCTTTGTAAACACAATGGCTCACATCCCTATAAAATATCAGAAACAAAATGATTTAAATTTTCTTATAAAGTTCCACCACAGGATTTACTTTTACTTTATTCAACATCAGAGCTGTTTAACATCAGAGAAAGGGGAATAAATTGTACTCTAGAAAACTGTGCTGTACATCAGAAAGGGAACCTAGAAAGAACAGAGGCCCCCTGGTGTGAGAAGCTCTTATTCTCACTTCAAAAAGGTGGCAGTATTTTTCAGATCTTTTGCTTTATCACTAACACCGGGTCCCATTCTGCCTAATAAATACCTTTCATCCCTGAAGCCCAATGAAATGCTGCTTAATTTTAAGTCATGTATTACTTGCCCTGCGATAAGGGTAGTATTTTTCCCTCAGCAAGCCAACCGGACTCAGAACTGTTAATCTCCTCAGTATGCAGGGTGCTTGCTTTCACTCAGATAAATTGTATAAATATTTGTAAACACTATAATCTATTTCAGCTGTAGCAACAGAACAATCTGATAAACACAACGTGGTTCCCAGAGATCAATAGAAGCCCATAAATATTACAAGCAAATAAAACATACTCTATTCCACATTGACTGAGCTGTGACTAAAACGAGAAAGAAAGCTACAGGGACAGGCAGGTTCAAGAGGCTTGCGCTCGAAAGGTACGACATCAATCCTGCCGACGCAGGGCGAGAGGCACTGGCAGGTGTGCACATACCCATCTGCATGGCGTTGCGGGTCTGGCTGGCTGGCTGCTGAGCCGAATACCTCAAGCAGTTATTCAGCTGCGGAGAGGCCGCCTGTAGCTGGGGATGCGTCTGGGGCGCAGTGATAGGAACAACCGGTCTGACAGCCGTGGCGACGTTGGTGTGACTGGCCCCAATGGGGTGGATGGCTCCCGGGGCTCCTTTCGTTGCCGGCGCTCCCCCAGCTCCGCTGTTCCTGGGCTGCCCGGCTCCCACTGGCACCCTGCATGGAGACAAGGCACAGCGTAAGCATGCTGCAGGGACCCTGATACCGAGCCACAATGCTGATAAGCACCCCCAGTTACTTTGGGGATTCAACATGATACCCTCTCAGGTGTTAAAGTAAACTGAGATATAGATACATATTTATCTTCTTAGGACACAGTCGTAAGCATGCTGGAGGACATTTTCACCCCTTTATTCTACAGGAAGAAGTGCAGGGTAGAATTGGAAAAGATCATTTTTCTCATAACTTTTTTTCTTAAGCTACATTTCTGTCTGAATAGTTTCTAGTAAAATCACAAATCTGAATTGAGAAGAAATGAATATCTCCCAAATGTCATTTTGTGTGCCAGAGGCTATTTTACAGGCACTAATGGAGTGATAATTAAAACAGACTCAGAGATCTTTTCTTAGGACCAAGCCTGCATACAGCCCCACAGGGAGAAAAAAAGATGGATAACACCAAATCTGTGTGTGGCTGTTGAAGGGGACTGAAAAGCAGCAGACTTGGCAGGGCTTGGCACGACTGAACACTTACCCTACCGATGCAACCAGCCCTAGCTTAGATTTGCTAAGGGAATGCAAAAGGGAAGGGAATGCAGCTGACCTTACTGAAAAGGAAATCCAAACAATAATCGACCCCTCTTTCACTGCTCACTTAAACTGTATGCATAGTTTGTATTTCATCTGAGTGGCTAGGGAGACCTCAGAGGGAAAGAATGAGGCTTTCTTCTATGAAATGAGTTCAGCCTAGAGCAGGTCTTGGTCTTCTTACCACTGAGCTAGAAACTAGATGACCAGGGCAGGAGGACACTGAGGAGGACAGAAGGACACCAATGGACAAACTCAGCTGCTGCTCAGCAGCTCTTTCTCTGAGTTTCTTACTCAGGTTCCTGAGTAATTTCCTTCCCCAGCAGTGGATGCCGTGAAACAGAGGGATCATTTCGTGCTGTTCTCCTCTCCCAGGCTGCTCCGTGTGCCAAGGTCCTCCTCCAGGAAAGGACAGCAGAGGGGATATGATGCAGAACAAAGTATGGTGAAGGAAATGGAAATGAGACAGTGCAGGGGTTTAGCAAGGGAGGAGAGGATAACAGAAAGGGTACAAGACCAACCTATGGGGAGTCGGACTGAGAGAATTTCTGGGGCCCCAAAATTGTTGTGTGGGAACACAGAGAGGAGAAGAGCAGAAGGAAGGCGTATGCTGAACAATCTGTCCCAAGTCAGAGGAAAAGACAGACAGAAGAAGCAACCCTAAGAAAAGAGTGGAAAGGGGAAGAGCCAAAAGAGTGAAATTCTAATAGAAAGAGACCAAAACACAGGCTGGAATATATGGTCCAAAAGTGCAAAAGATAGCCATCCCCTCTGCCCAATCCCCCCTCCCCCCAAAATCACAGGAGGAAAACCAACACTGTGGTGTCATTGACTTGGCTCATCTCATCTTTCAAGGTTTGCCTGGATCACATTTTGCTAAATGAATCTGATTTTTTTTTTTTTCTTCAAATTTTTTTCATCAGCCTCCAGGTAGGGAAAAGCTGGGAATCCCACCAGATGGAAATCTTGACTGTCTGTCATCTGCTGCGAAGAGCTGGCAGGGTAGCAGCAAGGTTCAGCTGGAGTTGGCTTGGCCATCTGCACTAGACTGAGTTTGCCAGAGAAGCACACCTAATAGTCCGCTGAAAGCTGTGTTCAGGCAAACATGCACACTGACAGGTACAGAAACTATCTGCGACTCCCACAGAGCTGGATAGACGCTGGATGTGGCAAAATTTCTCTGCTGCTCTGTGCGTGTCTGTCCATTTAAAGGGTCTTGTCCTTTTCCCACCGTGCTCTGCTCACATATGTGATTTGCCAGCTTATAAATCTAGTTCAGTGTTACTAAATTCACGGGCAACTTCTTTTTCCTGGGTTTTGTAGGGAGTGGCAGAAAAACATGCACGGATCTAACCCTCTGCTTTGCCGTCAAAGGGGAACAAAGTAAGTTGAAAGTGCAGCAAATAGGAGATTTTGTTGCTATTAGATTTTTCTTGCTGTTCTCACTGAGGGTGATTTACACAGGAACTTAATTAGCTCACAGGATTGTAAATATAATCATAAAGCTGCTTTCGGGTTTTGTGGAAAGCACTTTTGCCCTTTAGCACTTCTCTCTGTCTTGTTCTAGCTGTGACATGCAGCATTTAATAAAGTCTTGCTGATTCAGATCACTAACACTTCAGCACAAACTTCTTTACTAATTAAGAGCTGAAGAGGCAAGGAGTGAAGGCAGCCAAGGGGATCTATAAAATCAGGTAAATACTTTTAGGTTGATGAACAGTGAAGACCCCACGAACTAATGTTTTTTTGACTGAAGTGTAATAGTAGGACTGTCAGCAGTCTTAGTTACCGCCTTCTAATCTGCTCTTAACTTTTGGTTTTGCTCAGTCCACATATTACAAACTTGACACAAACTGAAGATGGAACAAACCTGGATCAATTTTTCACGGATTCCTTATTTTGTTTATCCCCATTACATGTCCAGTAGTTTTATAACAATAAAAAGTCATTAGCCAACAGATTCTTTACAATCGTAAAACCTGGGCTCATCAGACTTTGTAAAGTCAGAGGCTGTAAATGCCATCATCTAACACAACTAGTGAAGCCTTCTGAGAACATGGATAACTCCAATGCTACAACCAGCAAGTTTCATTACCCACGTCTGCAATGCCACCTGAAAACTTCTGGAAGGGGAATGTGATTTAAAAGTAGAGCTACGTTGTTTTCAGCATCCTCCAGACACGGAATCCCTCCCAGCCCCAGCTCAGGCATATCCACCTTGGCCAGTGGTCCTCACCTTGAAACAGGCGTCACGTAGTTGCCTGGGAAGACGCCGGACATCCCACTCCTCAGAGACGTCCCCTTGAACCAGCCATCCTGGCACTTCTCAATGACCCGGTACATCTCACCTTTGCGGAGCTCCAGCTCGTCGTTCTTCTGAGGCTTGTAGGCGTACAGGGCTAGGTAGCTGCAGGGAAAGGTCACACAAGAAGAAAGCACATAGCTGATGTCAAACACCACCACTTGTCCTGCTTTGACTCCAGCCCCGCAGAGCAGAAAGTGAGGAAAAACACTGCTCAGAAACGGTGGTTAAAAAGGGACATCATTACAGCACATCAAACAAGGAATGGCAGAGGCAAGATCAACTGGATGCTAAGACAACACAGGAATAACTAACCAGATTAAAGTCAGGGGGCAATGTAGAAATTAATAGGACATACTTCTTGCCCAGGGCACAATCAAAGCAAAACACTGCCACAAAGCAGCACTGAAGTTAAGAATTTAGCAGCAGTTTCAGAAGGACAAGGCAATTACAGAGACAGCCAGAGTAACCAGGATGTGAATGGGAAGGCTTCTTGAAGCCTAACATCTGGATGAAGTACATATTCATATGCTTCAGGGTGGGAGCCGCCTCTACTGTGGATTTTCTGAAGAAACTTTTCTTATGGATAGGCTACTTTATAAACATTTAAGGCACCTTTTCTTGCAGCTTTCTTGATGCTATTTATGCTGGCCAGTTTTAGAAACAACACACTGAACTGTTCTGATCCAGCATGGTAATTCTTGTATGATGTGGGTAAAACAAAAAGTGACAGAGGGCCAAATTCTGCAAGGGGATTTTTGCTTAAGTGAAGTGGTAGAATTTGGCTTTGGATGTTTTCCATGCAAGTATTCAAATAAATATTTAATCCAGGACCCAATATGTAGAACTTTTTATTTATTTAATTACAGCTTTTATTTATTCCCTTTGTTTAGAATCTTTCTTTTTATCTCTCTTTTGTTCTTCCGTAACTACTTCAGGGATGTGTCTAATGTTGTGAAATGACTACAACTTAAAGTCCCTAAACATATTCTCACTGTTTAGAGAGATCCTTGTTGAAAAATTAAGAATGATTGCTTGCACTTTGGGGAATAATGGAAAGTTGGGATAGGATAGCAAGAATGCACACACAGAACAACACTTCCTTTGTAAATACCAATTTTTTTTTTTGGTACTGTCACCTTTCTACAAATGCAAAAAGGGATTTCTGGTAATTCTTGATCAAGCTTCTGCCTTCTTGAGTTTTTTTTTTTTTTTTAATTTGTGCTTTACAGGCAGTGCAGAGAGACCAGGACAAATGGGGAAACACTTACAGAAAGTGCATTTGCACTACAAAGTGCAGCAGAGTGCTCTTAGGCTTGGGGGTGGGTGAGAAGACGCTTGCTGCCCACCTTACAGCAGCAAACCAGAGAAATAATGAAAACTATAACCATTGTGATTGCAGACTTGCAGCCAATAAAAATGATACATGGCTTTTTACTTCTGCTCTCCAGGAAATATAATTGAGGAATAAATCCTGTTAGTTTTCCTGATTCTACTCCTTTATGGTACAAGTAGATTTCCTTATTTTTATTCTGAAGGCAGTAAATAAACAGCAGTAATGAGCAGAATATTGTTTTTTTTTTTTTTTTAATTTGTGCTTTACAGGCAGTGCAGAGAGACCAGGACAAATGGGGAAACACTTACAGAAAGTGCATTTGCACTACAAAGTGCAGCAGAGTGCTCTTAGGCTTGGGGGTGGGTGAGAAGACGCTTGCTGCCCACCTTACAGCAGCAAACCAGAGAAATAATGAAAACTATAACCATTGTGATTGCAGACTTGCAGCCAATAAAAATGATACATGGCTTTTTACTTCTGCTCTCCAGGAAATATAATTGAGGAATAAATCCTGTTAGTTTTCCTGATTCTACTCCTTTATGGTACAAGTAGATTTCCTTATTTTTATTCTGAAGGCAGTAAATAAACAGCAGTAATGAGCAGAATATGAAATATTTGGTAACAGCTCCTTGGGGCATGCTTAGGCTGATGTGCCTGGCTCTGTTTACCATGTGCATGGGATACAAAGACCTAATCAGAAACGGTATTTCATTAGTCAACAGATGGGAGAAACCATCCTGCGGATCCTTTCTTTAGCCTATATAATCAGGTGGTCCTAAGCAGGTCTGTAGCTGTTCACCTGATGGAAAACACGAGGCTACATATGAACTGAAGAACATTAAAATGCATCACCCTGACATGAAATAAGTTTACATGCTTCAGTGCTAATCCTTCAGCACAGTGCTCTGCTAGGACATAACAGAAAGTGCCAAGATTGCACTCACTCAAGGGGGCAGAAAGTATGGCTTTGACTACCCCTTTTTAAGTTGCTGCTTACACGGGGCTCATATTCAGAAGGTATGGGTGAAGCGGGGGGTCAAGGACAGAGCATTTTAGATAGACTTACTTAGCCCTTTTCCCAAGGGACTACATGTAATAAAGTAATTTACAGGTTGAGATGCTGGAGGAAGGTGCAAGGAAAATTACCCTAAGTGGACCATAGGCTTCTTTCCCTTGCAGCTATCTCCAGGTCTCCTACTAGTTTCTTTCTGTTCCTCCCTGCAAATTCCCCCAACTCCGCCTCCAGTAAGCCTCGATAACCAATATCACAAGGAGGCTAAACATCCGCCATAGAGAGTAGCAAAATCCTTGCAGAGACTAAAAGAAGGCGTACAACAGCCCAGCCTGGACTCCATGCCAAAACTGACAAATCTCTGTATCGTTAAACTGATGAAAACTTGTATGTGGTATCACATAGCATGACCCTGGGACAACAGAGGTGATCAGCACTTTCTTCGTGGACCGCCGATCCCACCACCTACGCGGGGCAGTGAGGATGACCATCGTTGGGAGTTTCCTCTATTAGTCTGCAAAGAGGCAGGGGCTTCTTCAAACCCAGCGACAGGCCCAGCCTGGGTCCGCTGGGGCAGGCGTATGCCCTGTGTGCTGGCAGAGAGGGGGCTGTGGGAGAGCCGGCGGGATGCCTGCTGTTGTGTATGGCTGAAAACAATTTGAGTGCAGGCAGCTTCCCTCCCCAGAAAGCATTTCTGGGCTTTTCCTCTGGCAGGGGATCAGGGCTAGCGGCCCCATCTGATTAGGCTGATTTTGCCTTAAGCCAAAGCCTTTGGACTTGGACACGTTTCACTGCTCTCTAGATTTTTTAGGTGTGAAACTTCCCCAGCAAACGCTCTACAACTGAGAAGAAAGTGTTAAAACAACAATCTGAAATCTCTCAAAATATAATTGTGAGTTATTCTGGGCTACGTGAAACAGTGAGGCTAAGGGTTAGGGAGCAGGACCTAGAGGAAGCCAAAATCTTTGTAAAAAGTTCCCTAAAAAAAGGCCTAAGCGAGAAGGTAGCTCATGTTCTTGGCTTCGGGAAGCTGCTTATAATGCAGAAGCCACAGGGCTCTGTCTAGGGTTGTACCTCCCCAGTTCTGCTACAGCTTTCAGATAACGCTTCCTCTTTGACTGGAACTTGTCTCGCAAATGCAAAATGACAGACCAGATTATGAGCCTGCTTCACGGGGGAGACGACAGGAGAAATGTGGGAGGGAGAAGGGGAGGCTTGCTGAGGCACAGAGGCAGGGGCATTGCCAGAGAGCTGGAAAATGTCCTGGTTCAGCAACTAAATACTGGAAATATTGCCAGTTACTGCTTCCTAGTCTGGGCAACGTTTGAAATAAATTTGTGCCCTGCTATGTGCCACACAGGCTGCACAGGGTGACCACAGGGTGATGATGAGACCTCTCTGTGGGGCAGTCAGTGATGTGTGGTACTCCTCGGGTATGAATATCTAACCTTAGTAGCCAAGAACAAATTTCTTTTGGTTCTGTTTCAACTCCCCTATTCTCCTTGAAGCAGATTTGCTATGTTATTTTAGTATTTTATTTGTGAATTCAGACCTTGTTTTAGCCATACCATAAAACCCTAACATACTGGTGTGGATATGTGTGTGTGTCTATATAGTTCTACTGCATTCACAAGGTATATGTGATGAGAGGAAAGGGTTCAGCAGTTTAACTAGACAGGTACCAGATAAACCAACCAGGCTAGAAGAGATTTATTATAATGAACGCTACTCTTTTTGTTCTGTATCTAGTCAACGTTCTGTTATTCTACACACCATTCAATAAGCCCATACGCCCGATACGAAGTTCATTCATTGCCTTTGTTTATGGCACTGAAAAAATAAAATTGGGTCACTTTTTCTGGTTAATGATGAATGTATCAGGTGTTTGATTGCATGGGACTACACCTTTTTAAGAGCTTTAAATGAAGGAAGAAGATTTTCTCTAGCTGAGAGGCATTCCTTTTGGTTCACAGTGATTCATACAGCTGTAATAAATATACCAGGAGTCTAAAAAGGCTCACAGAGAAAGGGGGAATTCTTGCCTTTCTCTACTCATTTTTCAATTTCAGCAGAGGCTGGGTCATGTATGAAATTGCAATCTCTCTCTTCTCAGAATGCTCCTGAGCTGACAATCAGGCTTTCAGATTTCAAACACACACACATACGTGCACACGATTGGAACCAAAGAGTACACAGTGACTGAGATGAGCTGCTTACATATTGAGGGGGAGCTGGACCTTCGGTGGTGTTCCCTGATCTCCAATTATTGCACTTGTCCTGGGACCAGCCACCGTGGCTGTTCCAATCGAAGAAGAATCCTGAAAATACACAAACAATAACATACAAGGATTAAGATAAAGCCCACCATTTCCTAAAATGCTATGGGCTGAAGGCACATAGGAAAAAAAAATCACATCTTTTATCAATTCCCAGACTTTCTAACTTCATGATACTGCATTAAAAAAGACATCTTTTAGCCTTACACATTCCAAAAATACATTTCTGACACAAGGGATATTAGGTTATTAACAGCATTTCCATGTACCTGTCAGAGAAATTTAGTTGTACCTTGCATGAAGACCTTAAAAGTTTTAGAACACAAAACTGCTTGACTGCTTTGTAAAATCATGTACATCTCTGCAATAGTACCTTCTTTGGTAAAGGTAACCTTTTCCCCTCAAAAGCTTGTTTTAAAATTTTTACTCTTTTGGTTAATGGTTATGGTTCTATGGAGAAGAAGACACTATTCAATTTACAAAATGCAGTCTCATCTCTGTATACTATTTTTATCATCAGGAATATTCTTCTCCTTAAGAAAAAGGTGACAACACAACCCAAACCAGGAGTACCTCTGAACGAAGAAAGTAGGATTCCACTCCATTTTTACTACAGCAAATAAATCCCCGCTCTCATATAGAGAACGGGGCAGATCTTTTCCAGCTATTAATGTTGAAAGGCAATTCTCAATGTAATCGTTCATTTTTCAAAGATTAATGCTCAGCAAAATATGTAGGGCAAACTCTTTTGAGTTGTCTCACCAAAGTCCCCATTCATCTATGTCAAAAATGAATCCTCACTGGAAACTTCTGAAGTAATGCGAAGGCCTGTAGCAACAGATCTTTGCTGCAAAGACAGGGCAGAGCTGGGCTGATGGGACTTGTAACTTTCTTAGTAAGTCTAACCAAATGCCGCATGCATATCCATATGCAGAATGGCTCTACAAAGTAGGATCCAAATTTGATGCAGAAATTGCAGGTTCAGACATAGCCCGTTACATACAACAGGGATTCTGAGCAGTTCACAGACCTCCAGTACAGCTTTTCTGTTTCCAAATGGTATCTAACAAACAGTAAATATTGATTTATTTTGGGAACAGAAACATAGGGACATTTTTTTGCACTTACAAATGACACTGAATTAAACCAAGACACATATTGCTACTTAATTAATGGATTTCAAGGTCACTTCATTCCAAGGAAGCCCACATAATTATTACAGTGTCATGTCTTGATATTGCATTGCTAATCTATATTGCTTTGCTGTATATTAACACAATATCATTGGGAAATCATGCAGCAAAATATGAAGACACTGCTCTCTGATTCCACAGTTTTTGGCAACAGGCAGCAAGCTGTCTCCTCTCTTACCGACATCTATGCTCAATCATGAAGTTGTAGTGACAAGTACATCTCCTTTTTCTCATTATTTCCCTTCACTTTCTGGCTGTTTGCTCAAACAAGGAAGGTTTGAGGCAGCTCTTAGTCCTATGTGTAAAAGTAAGCATTCTTTCCAGTTCTGTGACTAAGGCTTTATTAATCCTGCCTGTCACATCAGTGAGATAATATCAACTTACAGAAAAAAAACCCAACCCACCCAAAAATGTAGAGATAGTTGGAGAATGATCCCTCATTTGTTATTTTGAGATGGTTAATGGGGTTAGGGGTTGCAGAAGATGCTGAGCAGAGAGACCTGGCAACTGCCTCACCCAAGAGGGTGAGAAATCGGCTGGTTCAAACTTCTTCATGTTGTGCCACCAGTGTACGCCTGCTCTGAACTAGAGAAACTGCCTCCAAGAAAACAGAAAACAGATCAGTCCCCACCCTTTTCTGGTAGGACAAAACACTTTGCTTTTACCTCATGAAAAATCAGAGCTGAGTGAACAGCTTCAGGGTGCAACCATAAAAGCAGAGAAGATCATAGCAATGTAAGAGACGTGCTACTCATTCCTTAGCTCCTATGATCGATCCTCTCTCCGCATACCTCAGCGAAGGCAGAGTTTACAGAGGTGCTGCTGTCCCAGCCAGGAGTGCCCACTGCAGGCACCCGGAGCTAAGCCAGCCTGACTCTGTAGAGAGAAGAGCTCAAGTCCAGAGAGCAGCGTAGCTGCCTAAGCATCATCTGTTTTCCTGTTTGCATTGACAGTGGTGGCTTCTGTGTCTTCTATATTACTGGAAGCATGAGCCCAAGTACTTTCTGTGCACTATTACGTTTGTGCTAACATACAGTCCTAGGGATTAAGATACCGTGTAATCGTCACTCAGTGTTGTTAGATGACAGTGTTGCTTTCTTCTCTTGAACAATCCCGAAGAAATCTCCATAGTCCTGTATGTTCTCTATCCACCTGACATTCAGTTTATTGCCTATGGACTGTTTCTGTAATACTGCTGCATCTGGTGCCAGCCAGGACCCTACGAACCATTCATTTTTGCCACTTTGCACAGCCTAGTATCATATGCATCCAAACTCTAAATCAGTGCCTGCTTCCTGATTGTGCTCCAGTTTTTCTTTAGCTGCTCTCCCCTGCAGGCTTTGACACGATGGTGTACTTGCCAGTCTGCCTATGACCCCGCTTTTCATCATCAGGTTTTACTCCACAGGACCCGCTGGCCTTCCACTGCATTGAATTCAGCTCCTCTCTTCACATCTTGGCATTTACTTTCACACAAATATTCTGTTCTGCAGCTTCATCCGCCTCTGTGCTCCTTGAAGAATTCTCTCGGTGGCTGCCTGATTGCTACTATGCATCTGAACGTTCGCTAGCTTTGTATTTAAACTACAGTCCCCAACAGTGTTGGTGAAGGCTTTCTAAGTCTCCTCTTTCAAGGTCCTGTTCTCTCTCTTATGTATCACTAATTAGCTCATATTATAAGATACAACATTGCTAGATGACTTTGCAAGATAATACTTGCAATAAGATTTTGAAGAGTGAATTTTGTGAAAGAATAATCTTCTATTTCTTCATACTTTTGATTACCTTTGTTGGAAGTTTACCTTTCCGCTTTCCATTCCTACAATTTTATGTGGGTGTCCCCAGCTACTGGTAGCACTAATAATCCTCCCAGACAACACAGCAGGCCTTTCTCCGTCACAGCTGGTAGCAGGGCTTAGTTTGTTTTCCTTCTTTATTTAGCCCTGGAGCCAGGTTGTACCTTTGCTATTGTGATCTAAGGAACAAGGTACTAAACATGTCCTCCTTTCCTCTTCATCTGCTCAGGGGAATGGGAATCCGACACGATGCTCTGATTTTTTTGTTCTCTGCTTTGATACCTTTTGGGAGGTCTGTGCCATCCTTCCTTTCTGATGGCACGTCCCTGCGTGATCCACCTTTCTGTGGCACCAGGCACACAAATACAGCCACACACGAGCATTACACAGGGAGGGCCCAAACACTGCAGCATTTGTGTCTTAACCCTTCTTCCACCTCTGCTACTTCACCATTGCTAAGCCTTACCCGGGAGGGGACGTCTCTGACAGACAGGTTTTTAAGAGACACGTGGGCACCTATTAATAAACACAGGCACCTTGCAGAGTTTTCTCAGGGAGGCATTAAGAAGTACTTCACTGTCTGATTCTCACAGATTTTAATGCAATCTAAGTAATAGGAGTCACTTCTGAAAATGCCATTTGATGCCCCTCTGTATCCTTATGAGCCTCTAATGCCTTTAAACATTTGGCCATTGAGTCTCCAGATGTGACCTGCTGGGTAATTACACCGTAGCACACCTCCTGATTAGGAGGCTGTTTACTCTAATAGTGGTGTGCAGTGTTCTGAACTAGACACTGCCAACTCTCAGCCCATTTACTTAGGCCACTAAAGAGCCAAATCCGACTTCGTGATGCTCCCACCCCAATCTGGCATCCTCCGAGTACCGCTTACCACTGCCGATGTTTTCAGCTGAACAGTAACAGCTCTTCTCTTCCAAGGGACAATACAGCCCCAGCTGCCAGCCAGCAGGGAAAGGCAGGGGCATGAAGGCACGCTGAAGACCACCTTTGGATACCTCTGCGCTAATCCCTGCTTCTTTGTGCCCGTTAGTAGCACAGCAATGTCACCTGTACGTGCAAGGCTAAATCTTGAGTAAAGCTCCCGGACTATACACAGGGGCACAACGATGCTGTGTGACAGATATCTCACTCCCAGCTCATCCTGTGCCACTTGTTTTTACCACCAGCTACTCTGTAGTAGTAGGTGATTATGTACCCATGGTCTGGATAATAATATAAAAGGATTTTGTGTCTGTAAACACAACAGCCTCCTTATGACCACTGAAACATGCCCCCCCACCCCCCACCCCCAATCAAGCTAATACCTTATAGAAACTCATAACTCATGCCTTGAGTCCTCCTTAAAAATTTTGTTTCTTTATGCTAATCTCTGTGTTGGCTGTTACAAGGAGACTTTCCGTGCCGACCAAGAATGAAGAAAGCCTCTGCACAAAGGTATCTTTGGGCTTGGTAAAACTCGATCTAGTCCTAGAGACAGTGTGGTCCTCTGGAGCAAAACAGCAGGGGAGCACAGGGTCTCTGCTCTCGGTCCCCACACAGCATTTCCAACACTATTTTCAGATGCTTAAGTCCCAGCACCAGGCACCGTTCAGGTGTCATGTAAAATGAAGAGAGCCAAAGCTAGCTGACAAAAATGAACTTTGCAGACGACTGTCCAGCCTGAGGGTCAGCCCGTCCTGGTGAGAACAAACGGTCCGACTTCCTCAGAGGTCACCGCAACGTGGCTAAGCTCAGATGGATCTCATTCCTCCTCCAACTGGTAAGTATTATTTGCAAGAGAACTACAGGAGCATCAAAACAAATTGCACTTTAATGTATACATAATGATATATTTCTATTACAGTTTATAGTATATACTCCTGGGTAAATAATACACTGCTGAGATGTTGCTGCCTCTTGTGTCAGCTCTGACAGATATTTAAAAGCAACCAGCCTGGCAAAACGTTACTGGCAAGCCCACAGAGACCAGGAAATTAAAGGTAATAACCAGTCATCTGGGCTGAAACTTCATCTCAAATTCATTCCCTTTCTC